GATCCAAGCCTGAGTGAGAGAAGCTCCAGGAAAGGGAATTTAAGGAATTTCAGACTGGGGTTTATGGAGGAAAGGAACCGTTACAAGCTGTGAATTCCCAATTTTAGTGAGAATTCCCTGTGGACTGCTGGCAAAAATCCAGGAATGGGATGGAAAACACGGCCCAGATCCAAGCCTGAGTGAGAGGAGCTGCAGGAAAGGGAGCTTAGGGAATTTCAGACTGAGATTTACAGAGGAAAAAACTCTTAAAGGAGCTGTGAATTCCCAATTTCAGTGAGAATTCCCTGTGGATTTCTGGCAAAAATCCAGGAATGGGATGGAAATCACGGCCCAGATCCAAGCCTGAGTGGGAGGAGCTCCAGGAAAGGGAATTTAGGGAATTGCAGACTGGAATTTATGGAGGAAAGGAACTGTTAAAAGCAGTGAATTCCCAATTTCAGTGAGAATTCCCGGTGGATTTCTGGCAAAAATCCAGGAATGGATTCCCAGATCCAAGCCTGAGCAAGAAGAATTCCAGGAAAGGGAGTTTAGGGAATTGCAAACTGGGATTTACAGAGGAACAAACTGTTAAAGGAGCCGTAAATTCCCAAATTTTGTGAGAATTCCCTGTGGAATTCTGCAGGAATGGGATGGGAAACACAGCCCAGATCCAAGCCTGAGTGGGAGGAGCTCCAGGAAAGGGAATTTAGGGAATTTCAGACTGGGATTGCCCCAGGAAAACAAAGTCCAGGTTGTCACAGGAGGTCCCAATTCCCCACTCCAGGGAAAATCTCCATGGAATTCTGGGGATGGGATGGGGAGACACGGCCTGGACCCTGCCTGGGAAGCAGGAGCTCCAGGAAAGGCTCTTGTGGGAATTTTAGTCTGGGTTTATTCCCCAGGGAGAGAAGGAACAAAGCATGGATCCCAAAACTCTGGGAATAGGGCAGAAACCACAGATCCCAAAACTCTGGGATGAGATAAACCATGGATCCCAAAACTCTGGAAATGAGGGATAAACCATGGATCCCAAAACTCTGGAAATGAGGGATAAACCATGGATCCCAAAACTCTGGGATGGGATAAACCATGGATCCCAAAACTCTGGGGCAGGATAAACCATGGATCCCAAAACTCTGGGACACAATAAACCACAGATCCCAAATCTCTGGGAGATTGAGGATAAACCATGGATCCCAAAAATCTGGTAACGGGATAATCCATGGAAGGATCCCAAAATTCTGGGACAGAATAAACCACAGATCCCAAAATTCTGACATAGGATAAACCACAGATCCCAAAATTTTGGGATGAGATAATGCACAGATCCCAAATCCCAGGAAGTCCAGGTGGGATAAGAACATGAATATGTATTAGGTTTGCTGTGTAATCCTAGGCTTCCAGGGAATAAACAGAGCAGCAGTGTGAAGTTTTGGGGTGCATGCTTTCCCTGTGTCTCTGGCTGGGTTTTTGGGGTCCCTTTGGGATCCCTGGGGACAGAGCACATTCCCCAGCCTTGCCCAGATGGAATTCTGGCTCGTGGGGAGCTCTCAGACCAGCGGGGTGGAGAGACTGGGATATGCAGAGAGGCACAAAGCCATGGTTTATTCCATGAAGGCATCCTATCTACATAGACAGTGGTTATTGTTTATAGGGGTTTTTATAACTTTAGAGGGTTTTACAGTTTGCACCAATTACCAAGGGAATTCTACTTCTAACCAACCCTTGAGGGATTTTACATTCAAAGCTGGCCTATGGATACTAAAAGAGAATGAACCACTAATATTGGAGATAGATAAGAGGGTCTAAAAGGCGAGAAAGCTGGATTCCTTTTGTATTTGTCATTTCACAGCCATTTCTTATCTCTAAGCTCTGGTTTTCCAAGGGGTTTGTTCTGAGCATGCAGGGAGAGTTTCTTCTTTGTGAATGTCTTCTGCTCCCTGCACATCCCTGCAGCTCAGCTGAATAAACCCAAACCCACTTTACAACTCTCATTGCTCAGGAGCTCCCAGAGCCTCTCCACCCATCAGCCTGTCTTAGGGTGACTGTATGCTGCCTGTATCCCCAAATGGTCTGTTCTGTTGGTGTTGAATATTCAATTCTGCAATTTTAAGACTGGTTC